AAAAGGATTGTGACTGTAATTATAATAGCGATGACTTTTCGCTTTTATCTTGCTCTTGCTCCTTGAACGGCTGCTTGAAACTGGAACTGTTCATCTTCCCTGATGGTCTTGATGACTTTGTAGTACAGCACCGACATTACTGCAGTAGGGAGAAGAAAACATAGCACAACAACTGTTATATTGAAGATGGTAGGGTTGAACCATTGAGCAATGATAGAAAAACATCCTTTCTTGCCAACATTTGTGGATAGTATGAAAATCACTACTACCAGTAGGCCCAAAAACCAGCACAGCAAAATTGCAACCTTCACTTTTCGATTGAAAGTGCCACCAGTCCTTCTGCTCAGAGGTGTAACTATAGCTTTATAGCGTTCATAGGCAATCAGTAAAAGGAAAGCAGGTGTCGCTCTTGGTCCAATCCGAAGAGACAACTTTATTTTACACATAATTTCAGCCCCGACATGACTTTGGTTGTAAACTCCCATGATACCATCACCCTTGCCCTCGATGTACAGCGGACCATCAAGCAAAGCTTTGTATACGAACAGTATTGATGTTATTGCATCCAAGATGGCCAGATTTAGAAGTACATAGTTAAATGCGGTTTTCTTGACGAATTTTGATTTGAGGATGATATGACAGACCAAAGAATTGCCAAAAATCGCAAGTGAAGCCACAACGAGAGTCAAAGCATCTATGACCATGATGCCGATTGCTAGCTCCTTAAAAAGTTTTGTTAACTCGTCGCGTCCTTGATAAGTTTTTTCTCTGGATACATCCTTATCAGAACACATTACGAACTGGAGACTCAAATTATAGTAATTTAGACCTTTAGTTACCAATGAACGAGCAAGGAATAATATTAGTTCAAATCATGTAATGGACATTTTTAACACGCATGCGTGTAAATTTTCGATCCCTGATTGGCTGATTAAAATGTTTCAATAAAAGGGAAGATGCACACTGTGCTGACACAATCACATATCGCTTGCGCGCTCAGTTGAAAGAAAATATATAATTTCGTTAAGTTTGAGACTCGCTGCGCTCGTGAGTCGACTTGAGTTTTGAACTTTTTTAACGTCGATTGTCAATAGCATGACACGCAACTCAAAACCGTGCGCAATTTGTGAACTTGAACTTGCATTTTTTTTATAATTTGTTTTGTAAAAAATCGTCGTTTCTGGCTCGCGTCTCTTTATGTCCGACATCGTTTTCTCTGCATGAGTTCAAGTGTGATCAACGCAATGTTAAAATAAGTTTTTCCTAATAACAAATAGTGCTAATTCCCTTTCTAATCGTGTTACCTATGAAATAACATCTGTTCTGATATTGTTTAATGAAACTGGCATTTTTCATCACAAGACCAAGCGAAATATTGTGAATTTTGTGCTGATAATAACTTTTAAAACAACTAATGTTGAGTTCCTAAAGCAAATTTACTGAATATTGAAATTAAGGAAATCCTCTCTCTGATTTGCTAACTTGAAATTGTTGATATTTTCATTGAAACATTTGAGCATTTCAATTTCAGGGTTTGGTTACTCTAATGACACATAAACGGTATTACGAAAACTAACTTTTAATCATACGAAACAAAAACAAAATCAAGTAAGATTATCAATATTGGAAATGTTACACTGACATTTATTGCGGAGATAGTTCATTAATGCTCAACAGTTCGATGTGTTTGTCATCTTGTGATATGATATTCTCGAAACTGGTGACTTGAGCTGGTTGTGAATTCGCAGTGAAAAGCATTGGGTCATTCCTAATGCTGCATTTGAAGAGTGATTTGAGTCCCATTCTAAACGACTTCAGAAAAATGAAATAAATCAAGGGATTTGCAAGTGAATTAATGGAAGAGTTTTGAAGAGTTTGAACAGTTAGACCCCATGCTCTTAACCTAAAAAGTAGTCTAGTGACATATACAATCTCGGGAATTACACAAAATATATAAAAAAGGATTGTGACTGTAATGATAATAGCGATGACTTTTCGCCTCACTGCTTTTCCTACTCTTTGAACGGCTGCCTGTACACCGAGCTGTTCATCTCTTTTGATGACATTGATGACTTTGTAGTAGAGCACCGACATTATTACAGTAGGGAAAAGGTAACATATTGCGGAGGATGCGATAAGATACACTCTACGGTTGAACCACTGTGAAATGGCTGACAGACACCCTTTGTCGCCCACATTTCTTCATATCATGAAAACCACAATAGGAAGACTTCCGCATATCCAGCTCAGTAAAATCAATATCTGCACCTTTCTCTTGGAACTTCGCCTGCTCAGAGGTTTGACTATAGCATTATAGCGTTCATAGGCTATCACTAAGAGGAACGCTGGGGTCACCTGAGCTCCAATCCAAAAAGACATCTTTACCTTACACATAATTTCAGCTCCGACATGACTTTGGTTGTAAACTCTCATGATACCATCGCCCTTGCCCTCAACGTACAGGGGACCATCAAGCAAAGCTTTGTATGCTGCCAGTATTGATGTTATTGCATCCAAGATGGCCAGATTGACAAGGACGTAGTTAAACGCGGTTTTCTTGACAAATTTCGTATGAAGGATGATATGACAGACTAAAGAATTGCCAATGATAGCAGCTGAAGACACAACGAGAGTCAAAGTATCTGTGAACATGATGCCGATTGGAAACCCTTTAAAAATTGAGATTAAGTTGTCGTGTTCTTGATAAATTGCTTTGACGATAACTTTTTTATAGAACAGCCCATTTTGAATAGAGATACCCAAATTAGACATCCTATAACCAATCATAGAAACATATGTTTTCACACTTCAAGTTATTCAAATGTTTGGGTTCAATACTCTTCGAATAAGAAAACAAGAAATGCTTCAGATTTCTCTGACTGCTTTTTTGCAGAAAATACACCAAATATTAATAGCTTTTTGGAGTTTGAAGGATCGTTAATAATTTGTGTAATCTTGTCGTGTTCTCAATAAAAGTGTTCTGTTGATAACATTTTTATATAGACAAACCTGAATTATAGCAATTTCGACATCGTGTAACCAATGACAGACAGAATTGAATCCTTATTACGACAGCTAAAATTCAGTTCATGTTATGCAATAGGTATCTTGAACTCGAACATGGTTTTGACGTTTTCTGTCCAAAATTGTCTTTTGTTCCTCACGTCTCTTTATCGCTAATAAGTTGCTCTGCATGAGCACTCTGTCATCAGTATAACGTCACATTTAATTTTCAGTACAATTAACGCTGTATTTGCGATTTTCATTCGTGTTGCCTTTGAAATAACATCTGTTCTGATAACCAAGATTGCTCGATGGTACTAACCATTTTTTCATCGTGCCATTGTCAATACTTTCATGGCAACTTGCGAGCACTACTATGTCAGGGTCTAGTTACTCAACTGACGCATTTGTCTTTTAATATATCAATCAGCTATCTGAGTTTGTTTATTACTATACAGAACATTGCAATAACAAATAAAAACCCAAAACTAAAAACCCATAAATCATTTCAACTATTCATATTAATAGTCTATGTTATTTATATAACGCAGCGTTTTTAAAAGAATAAAAGAATATATAAAATGGCTGATTGCCCGCGTAGCTATAGCCCACCATGTTTACATCAGGATAGAAAAACATTCTTACATATCTGGAAGCTGCAAAAACCTGCAAAAACCTGCAAAATTTGTTACAATAATGGTTAGTTAAATGTTTTTTTTTATTCTTAATACCTTATAATTATATATACATTTTTATTCTTTCATATTGTAATGATATATTTTCTTTTCTTTCATATTGTAATGCATTGCGGGGCTAACGCGGTTGCGCGAAGGACTGACGTACCTACGGCTGATGGACGTCCTTCCTTCGTGCTCCGCGTTACCCTCACTTTTGGCGATCTATTATTTTTTATAAAATTCTTGATTCTTATATTGTAAAAGCATTGAGACACCTGTATAATGCGTTTAAGAAATAAATTATTATTATTATTATTATTATTATTATTATTATTATTATTATTATTATTGTAAGAATAAAGCTAATTTCGTAGCCATGAAACGTAATTACCAAGATTTGCTAATTACATGTAACAACACTTATTCACACAAAGCTAATCGTCTAGACTTTGAACAAGGCCCGACAACACTCTACGTATTGTGCTCTCACTGTCCATCAGAACGGTCCTCTGCATTTCTCCAACAATCCTTCCCACATTTTCATGATTTTCAAAAAGCTTTGAGACTTCACTAATTGTCATTTTGATGCCACCTCCCAATGCACCAACTATCACTGGAACCACCTTAACGTCATATCCCGGTCGCCTTTCTCTCAACTCAAATGCCAGTTGGCGATACTTGGTGAGCTTTTCCATCCTTTTTGCCTCAATATTATGTTGTTGTGGGCACGCCATATCACAAATCCATATCTTCTTCTTCTCCTTCATCTCAAGTATTAAATCTGGTCTTCTT